TGGCCCAATCACCAAGAGACGGTGAGTTCTAGACCAGTCTTAGGCATGAAAGCGGACTGGGAGACTTTGGGCCAATCACCAGGAGACGGTGAGTTCTAGTCCCAATTTAGGCCCGTAAGCTGGCTGGTTGATCTTGGGCCAATCACTAGGAAATAGTGAGTTCTAGTCCTGCCTTAAGTCATGAAAGGTGGCTGGGTGACATTAGCCCAATCACTGGGGCTGGAGGACCCCTGATGGTCCGTAAGAAAATTTTGGTGGTCCGCAGAGGAATGTCCCACCCAAAGCAATTAATCCAGGCTGCACGGGAACACAAGGCTGCGCCGTCCACGTGGCCCGCGGGAACACAAGGTTTGCATCGCTTGCATTGTGAACAACACAAGGGAGTGAGGGGAGGGGGGGTGGAAGGGCAGAGGGGAGGAACTTGCCCCCACTCACCCCATGCGCCGGTCCTGACCACCGAGCTGCTTCTTCCAGCTTTTCTTTCTTTCTTTCTTCTGCTTTTGGCTGCACGCAAGGGAAGCAGCCAACGCAAGCGACTCAAACCTTGTGTTCCCATGAGTTTGACACCGCTGCTCTAGAGTAGCCTTTCTCCATCTCCACGCACCCGTGTGGACTTCAACTCCCAGAATGCCTCAGCTGAGCATGCCCGGAAACGCAGCCGGCTATCCTGATTCCAGTTCAAATGTTTTAAGGGTATGATGTACTACAGGTCATATAATATCTTAAGCCGCTTCTTAAGCAGATAAGGAAAACTTCTTCACGTCTCCGCAGATTAGGGTTCGGTTTGGTTGATTGACGGGAGGGTTGTCCTATAAGCCTCTCAAAATTATTTGCCAGGATTTGAATAGGCTGAATTCGAACCGAACCGCAGCGGGAGCTGCTGCCGTTGGGTCAAGATTTGGAGATTGGGGCAAATTTTGGAAGTTTGCATCCTTGCAAGGCTAAAAGGTTTATTTTATTTACAAAGTCTGCACTACTATTACTATTAATCTTCTCATCCCTCCTTATCACCCATCCCCTCCCACTTGTGACTGTATGACGGTAACTTTGTCGCTTGTATCCTTACAATTTATATTGACTGATTCCAAGTATGATTTCATTGCTTATTGTACCCTGTGATTATTATTAAATGTTGTACCTTCTTGATACACTGACGAACGTATCTTTTCTTTTATGTACACTGAGAGCATTTGCACCAAAGACAAATTCCTTGTGTGTCCAATTCTTTCTATTTTCTATTCTATCCTTATACTTTCCTTATTCTATTCTATTCTATTCTATTCTATTCTATTCTATTCTATTCTATTTCTATTCTATTCTAGTCTAGTCTAGTCTATCCTATCCTATCCTATTCCATTCCTATTCTATATTTTATTCTGTATTTTATTCTCTTTCTATTCTATTCTTTTTAAAAAAGCGAACCAGGAGAGTGTGGGAATTCAATGCAGCTAGTCCTCGACTTACGACCAGAATTGAGCTCCCCAATTTTATTTTATTTTTTGCGCCACGGTCCTCAAGCAAATCTCTGCGGTCACCAAGTGAATTAAACGGTTAAGCAAATCCAGCTGAACCTGGCTTGTCGGAAACCGGCTGGGAAGGCGGCGATTGGCTATCATTCGGACCCAGGGCCCTGCAACCATCGTAAATACAGACTGTAAAGTCCTCGACTTTATGACACCTGAGCCCCAAATTTCCGTTGCTAAGCGAGACAGTTCTTTCCCAAGGTCAGCATTGCCCCATTTTACGGCCTTTCTTGCCCCAGTTGTGAAGCGAATCCGTGCAGTTGTTCAAGTGAGGAAGGCGGTCGTTAAGCGAATCCTGACTTCGTTTGTCAGGAGGACGCAAAGGGGGATTACGTGACCCCCCCGCAAACCGTCGTAAATACGAGTCAGTGGATGAGCGTCTGAATTTTGATTGTGTGATGGTCCCGGGAGGCTCCAACCGTCGTTAAGGGTGAAAAACGGTCCTAAGTTGCTTTTTGCAACACCGTTGTGATTTCAAAAGGGTCTTTAAACAAACTGTTTTAAGTCGAGGACTGCCCGTAAGCTGGAAGACTGAAGCTACCCAAAGATTGATATTGAGCAATCTGACATCGTCAACGTTCTCCAGACCGGCTTAAGTTTGCTGGGGACAGAAAAGCTTGTCCTTGCTCAGGTTTAAAACTGAAAAAAATCCACACATTCTTAAGTCAAAAATTATTCCTTTCAATCAACGTTCGGTAAGCTTAAGATGGGCGGAGTTCAACGCCCAGAATTCCTCAACCAACATGAAAAAAAACATTGCTTTTAAAAAAATAGAGAATAAAGCAGAATTAACAAGAGTTGGAAGGGAGGAGGTCTTCTAGTCCAACCCCTTGCTCAAGCGGGAAACCCGACGCCATTTCAGACGAGGGTCGGTCCAATCTCTCCTTCAAAACTACCAGTGTTGGAGCATCCACAACTTCTGGTGGCAAGGAGTTCCACTGTTGTCCTCACTGTCAGGAAGCGTCGTAGTTCTCTCCTTCGTTAGTTTCCATCTGTTGCTTCTTGTCCAGACCTTCAGGTGCTTTGGGAAATAGGTTGACCCCCAAATCTTCTTTGGGGCAGCCCCACCAAATACAGGAACAATGCCATCATGTCACTCCTAGTCCTTTTTTTCATGAAACCTACTCAGTTCCAGCAACTTTTCTTCATAGGTTTCAGCCTCCAGTCCCTTCATCATCCTGGTTGCTCTTCTCTGCAGTCTTTCCAGAGTCTCAACACCTTTCTTACGTCGTGGTGACCAAAACTGAACGCAGTTTCCCACATGTGGCCTTATAAAGTGGTATTATTATCACTTCCCATGGTCTTGATTCTATCCCTCTGTTAATGCAGCCTAGGATGGCAATAGCCTATGTGGCCACTGCAGCACATATTTAAAGTGATAAGCATTTTAAAAGGTTTTAAGAGGGTTCCTCACAAGCGGAACTTTAAACTTGCTCTTGGCGGCCTTTCGAATTTTGTCTTAGATGGATTATTTAAATATATATATATGGATCTTTGGTTGTTTGGGTTTTCTCCTGCGTAAGATTCGAAGTATCTAGGCGACGTTTCGATAAAGTCTCATTCATCATCTTCAGGCTTGTGTCTTCGGCTCTGTGCTTCTCAGAGTGAGAAGCATTCACTCTGAGAAGCATTCACTCTGAGAAGCACAAAGCCGAAGACACAAGCCTGAAGAAGATGAATGAGACTTCATCGAAACATTGCCTAGATACTTTGAATCTTACGCGGGAGAAAACCCGAACAACCAAAGATCCACATACAAATACCCGCGAGAACCTCAGAAAACACACACACACACACACACACACACACACACATATATATGACAGTTTTTCATCTCTTACCTATAGATGGGGATTTGAAAGGGTATTTGTCAGGAAGGTCCACGCGAACTTTCCACACGCCACCTTCATACGGTGCTGCAATTGGAAGATTTTCAAAAAAAAAAAGATTAATTGTGCATTTCCTTCATGCTTCCAAATATAAGATTATTGAATCGGACATGCAAGACAGACGCTTAATTCTAACAAGCGGGTTGGAAAAAAAAAGAGCTTCCGTGACTAGTTTAGTATTTTTCTTTTTAGAGAGAGATTTTAGCTGCCTGCTCCTAAATACATTCATGTGGTGTTTCTCAACCGTGGCCACTTTTAAGATGGGTGGACTTCAACTCCCAGAATTCCGCAGCCGGCTGGCTGGGGAATTCTGGGAGTTGAAGTCCACCCATCTTAAAAGTGGCCAAGGTTGAGAAAACATGGCACTAACCACATATAAATTGCAAATTTTATAATTAAGAATTACTCTAAATAAATGTAAAGCACCACGACAGTAATACGGCACGAGAATATTAAAACAGTAATGCCCGAAACACCTTGTCTGCATGGCAAAGATAATCCTGGAAAGACGCTTCTAGATTATCGATTTTGGAAGCCCTAAATCAAGTTTAAAAAACAACAACCCACTATTCTCAATTTCCTAAGCACTGCATTTGTACTTTCCTGCTTGAATAAGGGGTTGGACTAGAAGACCTTCAAGGCCCCTATTATTCCATAAATCCATGTCCGTTTAATTTTGCTTCTTCGGTTTTGCTGATTTGAAACCTTGCTGTGAAAGAATCTAACAGGCCACTAGTTTTTTTGGCCGTGTGTGTCTGTGTCTGTGTGTGTCTGTCGGTATGGATGGATGGATGGACAGACAGAGAGATGTAAAAGCTATGCATTTTTCCACTTGGATTTGAAGAAGCTTTTGCAAAAAGGTTTTTTAAAGTACCGTTTCCCCCAAAATACGACCTACCCTGAAAGTAAGTCCTAGCTTGATTTTTGCACGTGCATCCGATATAAGCCCTACCCCACAAAATAAGCCCTAATTAAGACCCCACCCACTCCAGAGTGGAGGGGTAAAAATTAAGCTAGGGTGGGGATTGGGAGGTGGTGGAACTGCCCTACTACTTTCCTTTGGACAGGTGTAGCCAGGCCTCGCACACCCCGACACCTGCCTGGCCGGCCCATTTCTTCTGCAGCTGGCAAGGCTTCCCTGAAGGCCCCTGGAGCTGATAAGAAAGCTCTGGATCGATCCTGAAGGCTGCAGAGGCCTTCAGGAAAACCTTGCCGGCCACAGAAGAAGAAATTCCTGAAGGCCTCTGACAGCGAAAAGGAGGCCGGGGGCGACGCACGCAAGTGAGGTTAGTCAGTGGAGGACGTCCCCCCAAAACAAGACCTGGTGCCTTTTATATATAAAAAACTTACATCTTGAAAAAAACCTTTTTGCAAAAGCTTCTTCAAATCCAAGTGGAAAGACGGCATAGTTTAAACCCTTAAACAAGGGCTTTTCTATGGAGAAGATCAGAGGAGCCTTTCCAGTCAAATTAGATTTCCAAGGCTGCAGAACACCCGGGTTCAAGAATGTTGATAGCAACTGGCAGCCAGAGAAGGCAATGCCCACTTCAAGGGATCTGAGGCTTAACCCAGTATAAAATACCTCCTCTGTCTTAAAAGGCACAGGGGACCTGAGCATTAAACGTCTTTCCAAATTGTCTTATTTTTCCCGATTCTTCTCGTCACCCTCCAGAGATCGATCGCCAAGAAAAAGGGTTTCCTCCCAAACGTCTGAACGCGACTCGGGAGTATACCTACTTCCTTGTGGTCCATAAAACTTCACTACAAATTCGTTGAGTCCTCCTAGGATGGTGACTTCGTGTTTGCTCTCGATACTGGAGGCGTCAGAGTCAAGGAAAACATGGGATGCGCACGCTCATTCAGAAACCCATTCACTTAAGAAAAGCCAGCAAGTCGAGGAATGGCCAAGAATTGAATTCATTCAGATAGCTTCTGAGTCAGCCTGAAATAATTACATAAATCCAATAATATTTTAAAATATCTGTCTGTACTATTTGTAGTTCGGGGTTGAACTGTGGCGTCCTTGGTGCTCTTGGCTGTTTTCTTGCAGACGTTTCATTACCAAACTAGGTAATATCATCAGTGCTAGAAGGGAGTAGGGTTTGCTCTCTGTAGATCATATCAACTATCTATCTATCTATCTATCTATCTATCTATCTATCTATCTATCTATCTATCTCTAATCATATTATCTTTCCCTTTATCTTTCACCTATCATATTATCTATTTATCTACCTATCTATATAATACTATATCTAATCATCTCTCTCTATCATCTATATTATCTAATCATATTATCTATCTGTATACTATCTAATCATATTATCTCTCTCCCTTTATCTATCATCCATCATTATCTAGTCATATCTATCTGTATAATTCAATCTATCTATCTATCTATCTATCTATCTATCTATCTATCTATCTATCTATCTATCTATCCCTATCTTGCTCTCTCTCTCTATCTATATCCATCTATCATCTATCTATCCCTCTCTCTCTCCATCTGTATAATTCATTCTTTCTATCTATCTATCTATCTATCTATCTATCTATCTATCTATCTATCTATCTATCTATCCCTATCTTGCTCTCGCTCTCTATCTATATCCATCTATCATCCATCTATCCCTCTCTCTCTCCATCTATCGATATCTATCTATCTATCTATCTATCTATCTATCTATCTATCTATCTATCTATCTATCTATCTACTATCTATCTATCCATATTATCTCTCTCCCTTTATCTATCATCATTCTATCTATCTATCATCTATCTATCTATCTATCTATCTATCTATCTATCTATCTATCTATCTATCTATCTATCTACTATCTATCATCTAATTATCTATATCGCTCTATCCATCTATCATCTCCATCCATCTATTCTCTCTCATTCTATCATTATCATTTCTATCATCTATTCTCTCTCTCTCATTATATCCATCCATCATTGTCTGTCCCTGTCCGTCCGTCCGTCCATCCATCCATCCATCCAATTTGCCTGTCTGTCTGTCTGTCCATCACTTATCATCTCTGGGGCCAGAGTCAGACCCTACCCTAGTTAGCGACTGAAAAACAACAGGTCATGTTCCGAATTCCACCCAGAGAGCAGCACATCTCTGCACAACTTCTTGCTTCTCTTCCATTACAGCATCTCATCCTGAAACCGACACCAAGGGAGGAGTTAAAGTGCTGCTTTAACTCTTCCAAGACTTGGTGGGGCAAATTATAAGCTTTGAGTCACAGGAGAAGACAAGGAGAGTTGGAGGGTCGGTAGAACTTTTGGCAAAGATCGGATGCCTCGCTGCTCACGGGTTTTCGGAGACACCACCCAAGCCTTTTCCCAAAGCCAGAGAAAGATGCTGCTGGCATTGTTTATCTGAAACCTACCCCACCTTCATCGAGAGGCCATCCCAACGAGAGACGGGAGAGTCGGAAAAATTCCACGTTGCCATGAAATTTCTGCTTGCAGAAGGAATGCACAGAAGAAGCCAACCAGGGTAGACTTCGCTAAAGCAAAATGAACGGGGCGTAGAGAAGAGACAGAGAACGAAGAAGACGGAGTAGTTCAACCGCTCTCCACAGAAAGTTCAACCAGGGTCCAGAAACCACTGAGCCAAGAAAGGGGTCGAAGCCACCGTCCTTGGAAATGGATCGTCAGGGCAGGAATATCAGTTTCCCATCAAACTCACAATCCTCCCAAACTCCCAAATCCTGGTTTGAGACAATCCTGGCCTCGTTCACGCAGTTGAGAGAGCAATGTTTCTCAAACTTGCCAACTTCCAAGAGGGATAAGCTTCAACTCCCAGAATTCCCCAGCCAGCGTGACCATTGGGGGGAATTCTGGGAATTGAAGGCCACACGCCGTGAAACCTGTTGGCTGAGGAATTCTGGGAGCTGAAAGCCATATATCTGGAAACATGTTGGTTGGGGGAAATCTGGGAATTAAAAGCCACCTGTCTTAAAATGCTGGCTGGGGAATTCTGGGAGTTGAAGGCCACAGACCTTAAAACGTTCTGGCTGGGGAATTCTGGGAATTAAAGACCACACATCTTAAAACATGCTGGTTGGAGAATTCTGGTAATTGAAGGTCATGTATCTTAAAACATTCCGGTTAGGGAATTCTGGGAATTAAAGGCCACCTCTTTTAAAACATTCTGGCTTGGGAATTCTGGGAATTAAAGGCCACCTTTCTTAAAATGCTGGCTGGGGAATTCTGGGAATTAAATAAAGGCCACACATCTTAAAGCATGCTGGTTGGAGAATTCTGGGAATTGAAAGTCATGTATCTTAAAACATCCCAGTTAGGGAATTCTGGGAATTAAAGGCCACCTCTTTTAAAACATTCTGGCTGGAGAATTCTGGGAGGTGAAGGCCACATATTGTAAAGCACACTGGCTGGGGAATTCTGGGAGTTAAGGGCACACATCTTAAAACATGCTGGCTGGGGAATTCTGGGAATTGAAGTCCACCCCTCTTAAAACTGGCTGGCTGGAGAATTCTGGGAGTCGAAGTCCACCCATCTCTAGCCTGCTGGCTGGGGAATTCTGGGAATTGAAGTCCACCCATCTCAAAGCCTGCTGGCTGGGGAATTCTGGGAGTTAAAGTCCACCTATCTTAAAGCTTGCTGGCTGGGGAATTCTGGGAGCGGAAGTCCACCCATCTCAAAGCCTGCTGCCTGGGGAATTCTGGGAATTGAAGTCCACCCATCTTAAAGCCTGCTGGCTGGGGAATTCTGGGAGTCGAAGTCCAGCCATTTTAAAGCCCGCTGGCTGTTTAATTGTGGGAGTTGATGTCCACAATGTTACCAAGGTTGAAAAACACTACAGTAAATAAGTCCGGTAAATTGAATTTGGCATTCTACCCTGGATTGGGGGTGATATATTGGACAACTGCAGAAAAGCTAAGATGACATGCACTATTGCTCACTGGAGGAGGGTGCAGAATCGAGCATTTCAAAGGGAGCTGGCTGGCTTCCAACTTACTCCAAGCCATTCCAACTATTTTAAGAAGCTCCCCCCCCTCACCTGCCGGTATTTCTTACCTTGATATTCATTTTCCTGGGGCCTCCCCTATTAATTTTCCCAACCAATCCGTCTTCTAATTCCAGCGAACCCTTCGCTGCCCGATTAAAAAAAGAGTTTTCTTTTGCAAAAAGAGCTATCAGACTTCGCAGAGGTCATGCGGAAAAACAGAACCGGAAAATACAAAAACGCTTGCAAATCTCTACTCTCTCTCTCTCTCTCACCCCCTCCCCATTACCCACAGGAAAAAGTGATGTAAAAAGCCCAGTTGCAAAAGGAAAAAGAAAAAAGAAAAAAGAAAAGAGAGAAAGAAAACAAGCGTGTGAGTCTGAAATATTCATTTGGCCTCAAATAACCTGCTGAAAGAAACATCTCCCGAAGCCCGGATTGTGCCAAATCTGAAACCAAGCCCTAGACAATAGACGTGTTATTTTCAGAGAGGGCAGCTGCCGATTTCAGTTTTCTTGAGACAATTTAAGAGGGAGGGAGAGAGGGGGAGAACGCAGAAGTGCCTTTTTTTTTTTTTAAGTGCCGTAAAAGACTGGTCCAAACTGGTTTTCAAGGACAGGATTGAAAACAACAAAGGCAAAAAAGGAGACAAACAACGACAACCAACTTCCTTTTTATTCCTAAAGTTCTTCACAGAAATTTAACCTGGAAACAGAGAATTTAACCTGGATCAGAATGAGCAAACCCCCTTCTTGCACTGATGACGTTAACTAGCAGGGTCATGAAACGTCTGCAAGAAAACTATCACACTCAGACAAGCACCAAGAACCTCAGAGTCTTCCTCCTCCTCCTCCTCTCCTTTTTCTTTTCCACTTCCTAAATCCCTTCTAGCACTGATGATATTACCTAGCAGGGTCATGAAACGTCTGCAAGAAAACAAGTAAGCTCAGGGAGCGCCCAGGACCCCACGGTCCTCCTCCTCTTCCCTCCTTCCTCCCTTTTGTTCCATGTTCCTTTTCCTCTTCTCCTCCTCCCCACAAATCCCACTCCCTTTCCAGCACTGATGACGTTATCTAGCTGGGTCATGAAACGTCTGCAAGAAAACAAGTGAGCTCAGGGAGCACCCCAAACCCCACAGCTCCTCTTCCAACACCACCGCTCCACTAACTCCCACACCCTTCTCATACGGATGGTGTTCCCTAGCTGGGTCATGAAACGTCTGCAAAAAAAAAAAAGCAACAACCCAGCTCAAACAGAGCAACAAGGACCCAACAATTTCCCTCCTCTTCCTCCACACAGAAAAAGCACCGCGGCTCTTTGGGGTTCCAATTCTGACCCTCCCCAACTTTCAGTCAGGAATGTGCAAACTGCTATCCCCCCCCCCCCCAAGAAAAAAAATACCAACGGACACCACGTTGCTATTCCAATCTCTTTCCGTTCGGACAAAAACGCCAGGCTTTACACCTTTAGTTTAATTGAACTCGGAGGCAGGGATTTTAGTCAACCCACGATTTCAGAACCGACATCCAGCTGGCCAGGTGCCATACAGGTTGGAAGCTGCACCTCCCATTAAAACATTCACAGAGAAAAGATCAGTTGGAATAGAGCTGGAAGGAACCTTGGAGGTCTTCTAGTCCAACCCCTTGCTCAAACAGCAGACTCTATGCCCGTGATGGTGAACCTATGGCATGCGTATGACATGCAGAGCCATTTGTGTCGGCACGTAAGCTGCAGACAAACTTACCTCACTGCGCATGTTCACACCTCACAGTTGATTTGCGGCTGGTTTGAGGCCTTTTTCGGCCTCCTCAGAGGCTGGAGGAAGGCTTTGTA